ACCCTCCATCTGCGATAGTGGGCGGTCCTAACAATGATGTGTACGCAACTGCGTGTCTGCATATCTGCGCCTAACAAATGTGGTACTACGCACGACTGAAATTTTACGTTTATAATCGTAGCAACAGACCTCAGATGAGCCCAGACGCTCTGCGGCTCTTGTTATGGTTAAATTGCTGCATTATACTTCTTATTTTACTATATTATTGTTCAATGTGAACATACACTCGTGACTCATACATAGCCCATAGCAAGCAATTAATGTTATTAACACTAATATCAAATCGTCCAGGTTTTTTGGATTTTTAGCTAGTTGAGAAACAATCTTATCAGGTAAGAATTTGACGATATGTTTAGTCCCGTTAGTTCTTAATTTTACAAATTTTACCATAGAAAATTCGTGACGTAGTCACTTTAAGAGGATTAGCTTGGATAGCACATCATCATAGATGTCATACCTAGTCCAATTTTTGGCTCACATTGACATCGTCAAGATGAGCTATTGCCATGGGATGTTGTACATCCGTCCGTCCGTCTGTCCGTCAACATTTGGCTACGGTCAACGATAACTTGAGAACCGTTGGACCCACATGTTTCAAATTGCATACAGTTGTTACTCCTATAAGAGAGATGTGAACATCCTATTTTGCGGCACGCCAGATGACCTACTTTCGAGCCACACCTACTTTTTGGCAAAATACAAATGGCTATAAGTCAGTTCAGGTTCAATGGATTTTCCTCATTTTTGGTATGTGAATGAATAAGGACTGGCCCCAAAACATATCACACGGGTTTTGATATTTGTTAAAAATTATGCAAATTAGGTAGATTTTGGCAATTTCACTATGCATTTCAGTGTCTGCCTACCGTCAACGATAACTCAAGAACCGTTTGACCCACATGTTTCAAATTGCATACAGTTGTAACTCCTATGGGAGAGATTTGAACGTCCTATTTTGGAGCACGCCAGTCGACCTACTTTCGAGCCACGCCCACTTTTTGGCAAAAATGAAAATGGCCATCTAGATTCATTCGATTTTGTTAAATTTACCTACCTACCTACCTACCTAATCATACCTATGTGTAATATTGTGTTTTAGATTCTTTGTTACAGTAATTTAACTGGAATATTTTATTGCTTTTATTTGCGCGATAATCGAAAACCAAAATGAAGATCATTTAGGCGTAGCGCCATTTCTCGCCCAGATTTCAGACTTTCAGATCTGAAACATTTCTTTTCACATCAAAACTAACCCTGAAACAAAACAATGGAATTTGTATTAGTATAAAACAGGGAATAAGGACATTTGATCACATTTCGTCCGTCATAAATGAAACACTTGCCAAATTTTAAATATCATCTCCTATCACACCCAAGGTGAGCTATAGTGTCATTGACACTTTCATTAAAACTAATTATTATTTTTACAGATCTTAGTTGAACTGATTCTGCTTTTGGTGTGAGAGCTCATTGATAAGGCTGGGGTGCCAGATGGGCAGCATATGCAAGAATAGATCAATTAGTACTCAAACCGTAGTTTATGATTTATTAAAAGCAGCATAACTCAATAAACATTAACTCAGGCGTTACCTTAAACATTCAGTAACCCTTGTCCCTAATGGTTTTTTCCATACATAATCACAGTCTAGAGAGATGGACTGAAATCTACAAGATTCAGAAAATCATTAACCATGCCAAATCATCAACATGTTGTGTTACATCTGTCCAGATGCAAGTTCTTTTATCATATTGTGGGTGTTTTAGTATTTTTGTTATATTACATTTTACCGGACCTGATATACTGCCCTCGTCCATTAGTTTAAGCCTTTTGCCCCACATCGTGGCGGCTATCGGTAACATTGATTTTATTGGGATGTGACGTGTGCTGTGTCAATTACTGTATTTTTCCAGGACATAATAGCATATGTTCCTCATTTCTGTGTCATCTCTAGGTCTTCCTACCATCTGTTTATATCTGACCAATTACATGAAAAGGTTGATATTCAGAATGCAAATAGGAAGTGGAGCAAGCTGGATTTAGCTGACCGACCTTTGTATGACGATAGGCTGGATGGCCTGTGGAAAAGTTATGAATCACAGCTAAATGACTATATAAAGGTACATTCATTAGTTTGTATGACGATAGGCTGGATGGCATGTGGAAAAGTTATGAATCGCAACTAGATGACTATATAAAGGTACATTCATTTCATTACAAGGTCAATATCATTTCAAACATGATTGCAGTGCTATTCAGGTTGTTGCTTTATGAAGCAACAAATCCATACAGAGTAGCACCCACACTTTAGAATCTCGAGTGTTATCTGTTGTCGTAATGTCTGAGCTAGAGTTTGATTTCATTTTTTCTGTTACATTTTTCAGACACTTTCAGCACAAGATGCGGATCAGTTTCAATTGGCTCTCCCTCAGGCTGTTAAACGATACCTTCAAAAGCATCATCACCAGTTCAAAGGTGCACCAAAGAAACCCCCTCAGTAGGTTATGCTGTTTTGAGAGTCATAGAACAGTAATATGTTTAGGGAGCCAGTACTTATTAATTCGGTAAAATAATGGATGCATAAACTTTTCTGTAATACGTTCTACATTCTGCTATTTACTTCTGATAAATATACATACAGTATAAGTAGTCTAATTTGGTTATTCTTTGGCAGGGATCCATACCGGTTCTTCATCCAAAAAATGTGTCAGGCAAATAAACGGGCAGATTTTGCTTCACTAGCAAACACATGGAAATTGTTCAGTGGAGAAGAGAGGCAGGTCTATGTAACAGACTGGAGGAATCTTCAGAAAGAGTACAAAGATGACACAGTGAGGTACACTGAGGTGAGATGATTATCAACTTATTTTTGAAAATGTGTTCAACTACGTTTCTTTTGGTATACTATGCTACTTGAACTGAAGAGACTGCATGGATGCATTCATCTCTTGTGCTGGATTACAAAAATCACAGAAAAATAGGGAATGCCAAAAAACACTACCTAACCCTATACCCCCCTATACCAGCCCTCCCAAGCCTATTTCGACATCAAATGTAGTTATATTTGTATATTCTAAATTGTAATTCAAATGACATTTTCTAATAAATATACAAATACATATTCAAGATTTAAAAAATAAATTTAATGTCAGCATCTAAAGACATGAAATGATGACAATATACATGAAAACCTGTCATGAAACACCATACCTAGTGCACGATTATAGAATGTTTTAACGTAGAATGCTGGATTTCTTTGGTTGAATTCTATACAGCAATCCTCATTTTGACGTGAACGAGTAAAGTAAATTCGCCCATGGATATTTTGTTAATTATTACTATTAAAATCGTGATGCAAAACAAATTCGTCCTAGAAAAGCGGTAGCATTCTTACCAGGTAGGTAGGACATTATAGTGGTTTGCAGTAAATAGAGTTATGGTTATAAGCAACTTCATCGTGAGGGTAAATTATGTAGTAACGTTGTGTTTGGTTGGTGTAGGTTTTAATGGTTGCCTGTTTGCTTTGCAGGGCTTGTCAGAGAAGGATCGCATAAAATACCAACAGCTGCTGGAGAACCAATCTCGAAAGAAGGGTAGAAGTAGAGGGGAAGCCGAGGTATGAATAACATACAGATGTCATGATCACCACTATTTAGTGCCTGATGTATTGATACTTGAAGAGCTGTAATATGCATTGGCTGGTCATTTCTGGTTGTTATGTTTTTGTTGTTCCTGTACTAACCGGAGGTACGCTCTTAAGAGTAACTTTGACACTAGCAGTCCGATGCACAGTGCAATCACCTGCTTTCCGACTACCTTAGACAACCTGCATATTCTGTCTGTGTATGGAACATAAATCAATGAAGTAAAAATCACCGTAGAATGACTAATTTTTACTACGAGTCAACCGGATGTATTTTTCTTTTTCACTAGGTAGCAACACAAGAGTGCAGTAAGAAAGATAGAGAGCATACCGACTCAGGAAGTGAGACAGATCCCGCAGAATATGCAATCTCTGGCCTGGATTTGATGGCGCCCCGCAGAGACATTAAAATTAATAAACAGATACCCTTAGAAGATGATCTATATTCAGAGCCCGACTCTGATATTGCCTTTCCCTTAACACAAAAGGCGGTACCACAGAATGAAGCAAAATCTGTCAATAGCCCCCAAAAGAGAAAAAAAGGAACATCTTCCAAATCAAGCAGTGATTCGGAAACGTAACGTCAGTGCGATACTCCCAGCAAATATGGCCACATTAGTCATTACCTCAAAAGGTAGCGACGCATTTCAACTATCCTCTAGTCTCCCTAAATTTTACCCAGCAGGACTGTCACACTCAAGTAGCAAGTCGGAATTGGACATGGAAAAGTTGAGAGGATAATGTGAGACCAATGTGTGTGAGTGCGTGTGCGCATCTGTGTGTGCGTGCATGTGCGCGACAGTGTATGTGTGCGTGTGCGCGTATATGTGTACGTGCATGTGCGTGTCTCTGTTTATGTGCATGTGCGTGAGTGCATCAGTGTGTGCATGAGCGCGTCAGTGTGTGCGTGGATGCGTCAGTGTGTGCGTGAGCGCGTCAATGTGTGCATGAGCGCGTCAGTGTGTGTGTGTGTGTCTCTGTGTGCGTGAGCGCGTCTATGTGTGCGTGAGCGCGTCAGTGTGTGCGTACGTGTGCACGTCTGTGTGTGAGTGCATACGTGTATGGCAGGCGAGGTGGGACACAAATGGTATTTAGTGTCTATCATTAAATCATTTAGTGTTTGTCAATAATTCCATGCCTATGATTGGCTGAGAAAAAAACAAGTTGTATCTGATTGGTTGATTTAATGACTGTCACTAAATGGAATATATGATAGTCACTAAATAGAATATATGATAGGCATTAATTCGAATTTGTGACTGTCACAAAATACCAGTTGTGTCTATCATTAAATCATTTAGTGTTTGTCAATAATTCCATGCCCATGATTGGCTGAGAAAAAATAAGTTGTATCTGATTGGTTGATTTAATGACTGTCACTAAATGAAATATTATATGATAGTCACTAAATAGAATATATGATAGACATTAATTTGAATTTGTGACTGTCACTAAATACCATTTGTGTCCCACCTCGCCTGATATATAAGTGCCTGTGTGTGTGTGCCTACATGGACTGGCAACTTTTTGTTGTGTGACCGGGGATTACAGTTGATCAAAAAATAATGGGAGTGTTAAAAAGGATCTCAATAACATCCTTTCTTGTCTAATCTACTGTTGATGTAAATCTATGTGAAGTGTAACGTATGACACATGTGTAAATGGTGATAGTATAGGTAGTTGTAGCTGTACCAGTCAATGATGGAAAACATCGTCTTACTGTGTCAGTTTTTCGTCAGTAAAGGTGGGTTACCAATTTCTATGGTTTTTTTTATACGATTTCAAGTGATTTAAACGATATTGTGAGTGTTCTTTACATGTTCCTTTTAGACGTTTTTATAACTTGTTTAGATTATAGTCGTTGTAGACTAGCGTACGTGAAATTCGTTATGATTTTTAATTTGTCATATTTTTTATCTTTAGTAGATTCCCATGTAGCAGTGATACAGGGAAGAACCACAAATAAGTGTATAAAGCCTATTTTTACAGGAAGTTTATTAAACAGTTTATGTAACTTCACAGTGACTATGCCACACAGTGACAATTGTAGAAAAGCAGGGGCGTGTACAGGGGGGGGGGTCCAGGGGGTCCGGGGCCCCCCTGCTCGCGCAGAAAACGCATCTAAGGGGGGCCTAATTTCAAAATTTTTCTGGGGGAAGGCCCCAGACCCCCCCCCTTCGCGTGCTCGCAAGTTTGGGTTACGGTTAGACCCCCCCACTGGTACAAATCCTGTACACGCCCCTGAAAAGCCTATGTAAAAAGTAATAGATTGACTATTGTATTTACTATAATACTTTTATTGAAATAGTATCACTGTTCTGTAATATATTCTTGCTTCTATTTAGATAAAAACCAAGATAGATCATTTGACTGATGGATAAAAAGAATGGAACTTTGTTCATTTTTAGAATTTATAAATTATACGACTACACAGTTTGGTAACATTCATTTCATATTTACCATGCGTATTATCTACAAATCCTCTGTTAAGATAACTAATCTCAAGAGATGGCAGTAGGTTACAGTTCAGCTGTCATGCGTACTAGTTTGCAGGAAAGCAAGTGCTTGCTATTTCTGTTGGCTGTCCTCAGCAATAGTTTGACCTGGATCCCGTCCAAATTTGCACACCTGTAATAAAGCAAGTGGTATATTGGCAACGAACCCCCTAAAAATGTCATTAGCTCCATAAACATCTGATCTTTTATGTTTAAGGGGTGCAACATGACATTACAAAAGTATGTACATTTGAATACAGAGAACCGTACTTCTATATTTGAATTTCACTAGTAATCTACGCAATTAGTCTTTATCCATTTTTCACACAATGTATTATATTATTTCTTTAGTTATACATTTTCATTACAATGAAACCTTACAATCGATCAGCGTAATTTTATATGCTCGTTTTCATATTTGACTCGACTTGTTACCTTAAATTTTGTCCACTTGTAACTAGAACATTTCCGAGCTCCAGGACAGCTCTGTATTAGGTTTTGTATGGTGGGATGAGCAAAGCCAAAGAAATCTTCACCTTGACCTGAGAATTCTAGCTGGTCTTCTTTCCTAGTTACAATTTACAACTATGATGGTCAATTGTACAACATCTAACATCGGCAAAAAAATCTTGCAAATAAGCATGATTATATAAAAGTTCTACCTATGCAATTTTGATGTAATCTAGGATGTGTGCAAAATTAGCCACTCCAACTGCACACAAAATATACTTCAACTGTGATAGTAAAAATTGCAAAGATATTCACACAAATCAAGCCTGTTTAACTGAATGGGACCAGAGACAACGCACCTAGAGGCATTGATAATCCGTAGTAGCTCGTTCAGGCACCCCTGTGCTGTGAATCCCATTACAAGTGTTTCTGGACTGCTTTCGGGCACTATTTCAAACTGTAAAATAGAAAAGTGTATATTTTTAACACTCACTTTACACAAACTATGTGTAAACCTTTGTGTGAACTTTAGCATGTGTGTCATTTGGAGAGTACATCAAACTATTCTTTGGATCTTGTGGGAGCTATGGACAAATATAGCTTCAATTTTATCAAAGAAAGAATATGGCTATTGATGCATGTTAAAATAGCTTGAAACCTTGTGCTATTTATAAGTATATAATCATATTGCCAAATACACATTAGTTCGTCAAATTTTTTTTGGTTACTGCAAAAAAAGCTCAATTGAAAATCTGCAATCTGAATTTGTATCTATCAGCAATGGTTGGGAAACTGAATCGCAACTGTCGAAGCAGGTGTAACAAGTCGAACAGGTCGAAGGAGGTTTATACTGTAATAGTCATTGCATAAAAATTCGTATTCACTAACATATTTACATTGCTGTGCATACTCTAGTTTGGTAATCATAATTTTATAATCAGGATAACCAAATGAAAGTGTCAATGACACTGTAACTCACCACAAAAAAGGACACAAATGAGTGAGTGAGAAGAAGTCAGTTTTAATTGAGCAACCATCGACGTACATTATAGAAACGAAGAGTATATATGGGAGAACTCCCATTATATACTCTTGATAATTATATGTGTAATTTTTTATGTGAAAATAAATGTTTGAGATGTGGGCGAGTGATGGCGTTACACCTAAATGATCGCCATTTAACATTTTTATAATATTCAGATTTAGGCACTGCCTAAAAGTGGAGCTCCCGACGTGTAACGTGTAAGATTGAGAGGATACGCTTATTCCACGTAGCTGCTATATACCACGTGACAATGGTGTTTCCCTGCCCATTACACAACTTTTGTCAAAAGTCAATTGGTTGCATGGAAGTGTTTACTTCGTATGAGTTTTTCTAGGTGGTAGCACACGGTTGCCATCTGTATATCGCAATAATAATTTATAAACCAAAATGAATCACAATTTGTGACGGTAGATGGCGCTATACCAGCTTTGATGTTTCTTAGCAATGACGTTCGATAGGTTATGCTGCGTTCCGACATGTTTTGTAAAACTTTACTCTAATATAGACGTTTTATCGGCAGGGTGGAGAGGAAATACCAATTTTGCATTAAAGATATTGTCAATGAAATCTTGTAAAACGAGCCAGACGAGTGTGACACCACAGACTGTTATGTGCGTGTCTATAACATATGCTATATAATTGCCAAAACCTACCTAATTTGCATAATTTGCATGGCAATAGCTCATCTTGACGATGTCAAGGTGAGCTAAAAACGGAAAACCACTCCCAATGTAAATCTAATATATGATGCAACTGAAGATTAGAAGAAAATTTTAAAAAGAGGGTATCACATATTTCCATGGTTTTGAAAAGAGGACCAACATCGTGAAACTGTTCTCGGATCCTCACTATCCTGGCAACCATTGCTGGTGCTATATATCTGCATGTACCCTACCATATTCCATTCACGAGTGTGACTAAATACATATTTCGTCTATCCTGCCATATGCGATTTACGAGTGTGACTAAATACATATTTCGTCTACCCTGCCATATGCGATTTACGAGTGTGACTAAATACATATTTCGTCTCGACTTACCCGTGGAACTTCACCACCATCCAGTATCTTACACGTGTAGAGGCACTTCCTTCCCAGATTCTTGACATCATCGAATGTGCGGGAGCTACAGAATCCAACTGGGTAGATGTGCTGCTCTGTGTGGAATGCTTGTCGGTCATGTACAATCTGCAATCACACCACTGCTTACACGTGCTGACTGAATCTGCAGTTACAGTGACTTGCGACAATGATGAATACAATTTTAATGAATGAAATGATTTCTAAATAATGATAATGTTTATAATTGTTATTATTATATTATTATTGTTATGCCCACATACAAGCAGACTATAGTTGATGAATACTGAAACAAAAGTTTCACATTGAGTTCTATAGCTTGATTATTTTCATTTCAACTTAGTGCCATTTCATATATCCAAAATTTATATGGAAGCATGATAATATTTTGCATATAACGTATTCTTACAAAGACATGTATTAACGTGCAAACAGAAGCATATGCTGCAGATATTCACCTCGCCCAGACTGTGCACAGTGAGTCCATCCACAACGATTGGAAACAAGGGGCGGCCCACGTCATCTAATGGGATTTGCTGAACAAAAAACTTCTTCGCTGTTGCTTCTCGCTTATGTTTCTTTGATTTGGATGTACCTACAAAAACCAAAAACCTAGATAAAACACCGCGTCAAGCGACGACTAAAACCGCAACACCTCTATTTGTATAGGGTTGATCCTGAATTATCGTAGAAATACCATAGCAATGCCTGTTAACCAGTTGCATTGCTTGCTCGTATTTAAAATAAATTTTGCACTTTATTCTGTTCTCAGACAACCTGCATCTTTACTTGCTGAGATATACCTTTTTTCTTACCAATATCGTCCACAAGAGAATGTTTTTTCTTTTCTTTGGCTAGACTTCCTGAGGATACCAGCCCTGTGCTGCCACCTGGTGGCACTTGGCTAGGTGATACTAGTGCAGCCTGGGCTTGACTGACCAGGCTGGCAAGCTCATTTACTGTTTGATATTGCAGAAGTTTCCTCAAAAGAAAGCTAGCAGAATGCAAAATAGAAGAAAAGTTAACGTAAAATGGTAAATAACAAGCAGGCTGCTTGATGATCACAGTGTAAAATGTTCAAACATACTGTCTAGAATTTCTTCTCGAAAATGCACCGAAAATTCTAATACAATAAATCAGAGCATTCTCTAGTAAGATTCTCAAGACATTTTTACACTATCCTGGCTATTGCGGGAGACACCTCAGTATAATTTTTAGTAAATATATATTAATGTAGATTAACAAGTATGGGTGATATTTGTCTTATGATGAAAGATAAGTAAAGTCGACGACCTTAGACCAGTTCTTGTATACTTTTCTTACCTCCGTTCATCTCTCGCTTTTTGAATTTGTTCTTCCATCCTTACAATTTCATCACAAACGGCTGCATTCACCTGCAATATGATATATCACCACACTGCTTGATAGATATCAACTAATAGAGGGCAACTGGCACTGGGAAACAATTAAAACACCACTGGCTATTTGTCTATGTTCTAAGCTGTAACCCTGTTCTACTAAACCGATAGACCAGGTATCAGCTAAATACAGTTAAAGAGCTAACATCCGAATACTTAGTAACATGAATGCAGTTGGCACTTAGTAGAAACACTATCAATCTACATCCATTACTACCTCTCTAGTAGACTGTTAAATAAACTTGGCTTAACTCTCCTAACCACTTCATACCACTAGTTATGTCTAGTAACCTGTCAGATAGCACCATGGTTACCATTCTCTTCCTACTCTGTACTACAGTTCCTACAGATGCATGTCTATCAGACTATGACAGGGTCCCTACAGATAAGTCAAGACAAAATTCAAGGAGTTTTCCAGGACATTTCAAGGACAATTTTTATTTTTCAAGTACTAAAATTCTAGCTTAACTTAATAAAATTCAGTGTTTTCAGACTTAGCACAGCTTGAAAAGATACATTACAAGGAATAGAGGACATGAAAACTTATGATTCAGAAAAAAACACAGATTAACAGAATTAATACAAGTGCCGCGGAGCGACAGCGCTCATCTAACGTCTACTGCGGTGACTCTGTGGTGGAGTGGTGGG